ATAACTATTGTATAATTCTTTTATTTAAACGATAAATTATTAAAATATGATGCTCAATCTTAAATAATATATTTAAAACAATTTGCAGTTAAACAATTCGCTATTTGCAAGAAATTATATTGTAATTGATGTTTGAATGTTTTTATGTTTAGAATTTTGGATGTTTCTTACTTAACGACGCTTATATATAATGGATTTTTCTTTTTATATCATATTTCATAATATAGTAAACATACAAATATAATAGTATAAAATATATGGTTTTATAACTATATATAATTTTATTATATATTATATTTTACATGGACTCGCCTCATAGGATGGTGCGCACGTGCGTTGCATTTTTTGCGTGTGGACTGTGCGAACGACCCACCCGTAAAGGTCAAGTTTAGCAGTTAAGGTACGGCTGAATGGATTTGAATGAAATTTGGAACATGGATAAGTTATATTCTAATTTAACACGTAGTATATATTATCGTGGCACAGTTGTGGGATATCCTATATAGATAGATAAATAGATAAACATGTGTATCAATCACTTGAATATGATTTGTACAACATTTCTACAATTACAAAGTATTTTTACATTACACAACAATTACTGGGGTTTGATTTTCATGTCTTATAATATTTCCACTAATAATTTTATTTCATCGAAAAAATTAATACTTTTTCTTATATATACGTATATAGAAAACATAATCAGTCTAACGCTCGTATCCGGGAAAAAGAGACGCGCCGGAAGCATGTTGTCGTGAGCACAGACAGTAGATTGATTCTATTTGTAGGAAATAAAAGCGTTAACGGTTTAACATTATCGTTATAAATAATATTTATTTTTAAATACCTGGAAGATACAGTCAATTTACTTTCCATTTTACGATCGAATGTGTCCGGAGTCGAAGATTGCTGAAATCTGTTTTGTTAGAGATAAAAATAGAATGGCAACCCCTAGAATAATCGTCATAATATATAAACTTATATCCATCCATATATATAAGGGACAGGTTGGTAAAAACTGAAACAGTGAATTCAGATCATTATTCTGGACTGATAACCAGTGAAAATTCTTTCCGGAAAATTTCAACTTTTCCTGTTTTTTTTTCATTTAAAATCATGTAAGCTATGACGTTACGTTATAATATAAAAAAAATAATAATATTGCATACTACAGCTATATAATATACCGCTATATATACAGCTATATATATTAAAATCCTACCGTAGCGCGCAGAATCAACTGTGTAAGGTCAACGCCACAATCGTACGAAAACTACTTCGGACGAAGCGCTATTAATCGTGCGATGTAGCATCATGATGATGTAGATCACATCTTACAATTAAATTACGTCGTAAAATTTTAAATACATTGCATGGCGTGAAAACTAAAAATAATTAATTATATACCTGTGGTACATTTCCAGTGGGAAAATAATCTATCATCTGGTTCAGACCATTTGCCTGAATCAACTGTCTTCATTTTAACCAACCTATCCCTCCCACCCTGTTTACAATTCGTTATAAATGATGTATACAGATATAATTCACAGTCTCAATAAGTGAATCAATAAGCCATATTCATCTTAGTACTAAACTGTCATAATCATCACCTGATGATTATGACAGTTTAGTACTGATAAATACCTTCTGATAAATAGCGTAAATCGATAGCGCACAACTTTTATAACAAATACCATAGATGACATTTAAAAACTCTGCTTACACTACCGACATATGCCAGTGGGGTAATGAATTCACTAGAAATTAAAACGTTTTCAGAGGGACCACGTGGTACAATGTCGCTGTGTGTTACTTACGTTAACGGATTTTATTATGCAATTCTATATATTCTATTGTCATAGTCAAAAGAGCGCGTATGCCCTAGGTTTCGCAACGCTGTAGCAGATTAATTTAGGATCAAGTCTCGTATTGACTTATTACTTAAAGTCGTGTCAGACCCATACAAACATACTCACGTGTGACGGTAACCGAATACAGGATTGGGAGGATAGATAGGTGGCTCAGAACCATTACTAGTGACAGTACATAGGATTGTTAAATATAGTATATAGTTAATATACTAAATTTAGCGATGGATAATAAATGACTCAACTTATAGTGATGACTGAAAATAAAGTTTGTTAATGCATTAATATGTTTTCCAAAGCACTCAAATACTAAAAATAACTTATACTGTATGATCGATAGCTATCAAAAATAAAAAAGCAGGAAATGTTGTTTATGTTTCACATTAGTACACCATAATACTACACAATACGTGTGTATACATCTTATGTGATGTTATTTAGTTTTGAGTACTGCCCTTTAGTTTCAATAATTTATCGTAAAATGTAAATTATAGATATGCGATTAATAGAACCTTAAACATGTAGACCAAGTGCCTATTTAAAAATGTATGTTAATTCTTAAAGTTAATCCCATAACAATGAAATTGTTAATAAGTTATATATACTCGTAGATCTTGAGTTGAGATAGTAGTCTGGCAAGAGTCTGCCTTAACTTGTAAATTTAAACAATATAATAAATTTCTCTGTAAATGTCAAAAAATAAACGCATGGCTATAAAAAATATAACTTATATAATTATATATGTGGTGACATGTTTCATTTCGAACTAACAATCAATAACCGTAGATATTTTTGGATTTTGAATTATTGGAATGTTTAACATGTAGAATAGATACCGGCATAGTAAAAACATTTGTTATTATATGCATGACTGTTATCATATGTTTGTATTGATCGTAATGCTTTCTTAGTATAAATATGTGTGTATTTACAAACAAAGTATTTAAGTTTGTCTATTAGTTATTAAGCACAAGTTCTGTTTAGTATTGGACCAGATGGCGCTGTGTAGTGCAGTAGTATTTATGTATTTACATAAATTGTAACAAAATGAAAGATCCATTTTTTACCATGAGAAATACAAAAATATATTGATTAAATTGCTCTCTACTCATGACGTAATATTTCATATGGTAGTGTAAATAACATCCATATTTAGTTCTACAATTACAAATAAGTCACGCGATGTTGGATGTGCGTGTTAGAATGTTACACTTTGAACATTTTATATAATGTATCGAAATTGACCCTATCTATCTCTATCATTAGATCATGTCATCTATTCGTGTGACTACTATCTCTATTGTAAATTCAGTTATGCATATAGACTTAGTATAACTTACGTACTGACAGACTGGAAATATAATTATAAAAAGTAGTCCAGAATATAGTCATATTAGTGTACTTATAATGTAAATGTGTGCATGTGCCAGTTCTGAAATTATATAAAATTAATGTTCCAAACAATGCATTATATTTAATTATATTTCTTATAATTTTAATTTAATAAATACGAACTCAAATATGAATGGATTCCTGGAAGATCTTGGCCCTCTAGACAAGTGGCAAGCTAATTTGTCGATGGAATCGACATCGCTAGCAAGTCCGAGAGACAGAATGAGATAGTAACACCGGATGACTCATTCCAACTCACAGACTCGCTAGCGATGTCGATTCCATCGACGAAATTGCTTGCCAAATGTCTAGAAGCCCTGAGCTTTATTTGGAAATAAACATTATTAAATATTTTTTTCTACCAATTATGGTACAAAATATTTTATATTATTCTATAATATTGTATTTAAATACATAAACGTTTAAAGTGTATTTACGTAAAAAAACGGAAAATAAAATATTTTTTACATTCTAATTTATGATATATCTAGGTAAATCACGCTTGATTCTAACTGCATTCACTCAAAACTAATTATAGTTCAAATGTTAAAAATATCAGAATTTATTTTATTCATATTCTCGTCAATTCTTTTTCGAGCTTATATTGTGTAGTTGACTATCAGTTTTTTTTTATACAACTTAGAATGGCAAACAAGCTGACGGTCCACCTGATGAAAAGTGGTAACTGTCGCCTATAGACATGAGCAGTACCATGGACATAACAGAGTATACTGTTTCGTCCATGATACTCCCAATGCGTTGCCATTCCTGAGGACTCAGGTGTTATTCCTCTGTACCCTGTAAATTCACTGCCATATCCCACCCTTCAAACTGAAACACAGCCATGCAAATACAACTGCTTCACGATAGAAACACGAATGGGACAGAGGTACCCAAGCAATCGACTTTTGTACAAAGTCTCCCCCTTCTAACGTACATTATATTTTATCATAATTTTTCTGTTTAACATTGCTAATCTACATATTTTTAATTTAAGGTCATAGATGTTCGACTCGTTAATGGAGTAGCGGCTTATCACAATATTGCAAATGTAGATTCAACTTAAATGATGGACTAAATTAAAGTTGTCAAATAAAGTTGCTATAATGTCAGCAATTACAAAATATGTAATGAAACTGTGTATCTGTTATTGTCGATGCTACTAGTAATTGCATAAATAATAATATTTTATTAATGAATTTGGGCCTAAACTAATTTACTGCTAATATGTATAATAATTGTCACTTAACCGTCTCCATACCGCAACTGGTTTACCACAATGAATTCTGTAATTAAGACTCCGAATTCAAATTTTTGTCGATGATATTTAGAAATTAATTTAGCGATTTTTATTATTATTAGTTGGTTTTGAGTATTGTAAGTCATGCAGTGAATGTTACTATTGTGTCAAATTAGTAAAATAGTTCTTAACAGCGTTTATAATTTTGATTGACAAAGTAAATTGCTATTATTGGTAAATTTAAAAAAAAATTAATAATTTTCAATATTTCTAAGCTAAATAAGCTAAAAAATTTTAATTTCAAGACTTTTTAGCTTATTTAAGATTTTTTAGAAGAGGTTTTCTCATTTCTTTCGTAGTTTTCTTTCTCTGCTTGTTATTATAATAATCGGTAGAGAAAAAAACAATTCTACTATAATAATAAAGATATATATAATACAGACTTAAAAACTTATAATTTAATTTAGAATTAATATAATTTTATACTTATATTGCCTTACCTGTCGTCATAAACGAATCCCGCGTCCAAGGTGTTATAATATAGAAGAAAAGCCAGCAAAGCGCTGGCTATTGTCACCCAATCCATGGTGACTGTTACGACGCCTACATCAGTGCTAGTTCTTATCACGCCTGCAACAATGGTAAACATAATTTAAGATTGTGTTGAAAAATCAGTTATTCTAATTTTAATAATAAATACTAAATCGATTTTAATAAAAGTTCTGTAGTACCAATTTATAAGTATATCCTTTTAGATAAAAAAAGAATTATTCAATTCGGTTTATAACTGGCGGAATTGAGGTTACAAAAAAAATATACAATTGAACTGAGAACCTCCACCTTTTTTAAATTTGGTTGAAAATGTCTTTCTTATTTAATTACATTTAAACGGCAAACATCCAAACATTTTTATAAACCACATCTTAACTAATATTGTAGAGACAAAAATTTTTGTTTCTTTATCCAATACAAAATAAAAATACACTTAATTGATTTTAAATATTCTCCATATTGGCCGTAGTTTATTTACAAAAAAATGTGCGAAACCGGACCAGATAGTTCATTAGAGTGCAGCGGTATCCTAGCAATCAATTCAAAAATGCAGCTTGCAGAACAAACTTGGGTCGCGAATCACCTATCATCCGCATAACGCGTCTTTATAACGATATTGTAAAAACCAAGCCTGAACTTGATATTCACAGCGATAGTCACTGTGTATTCATGGCTAAATTAAAATGTTGATGTATCTCCCCATTACGTTATATTTATTTATAATAATTTAAATACAATTTCCATTATTGATATTATATTATTATTTATATTGTAAATATCTTTACTCATATAATACCAATTAATAATTTAATTCTATTTTAATGTTTATCAAACACAAGGCATGCTGTAAGAACTAATGCTGTAAGAAGCCTATAAATGTAAGAACAGTTAGATCTAATCTACCAATGTATTATATTGAAATGTTTAGCTGTATCTTATGTTGGTAATCCTATAAATAAATATTAATAGGATAGAAATATCATCCACATTTTTTAAATGAATAAAAAAGATTTTAATGGAATGGTAGCCCCTCCCTGAGTTATTGATTTACGTGAGGGTCGATAGGTGTGAATGAAGTTGATTCTCATTTCTCACCTATCATCCCTCACGTACAGTTCACCAGAATTAATTACGATGATTTCCAAGAAGGATTGCGACGTTTTCAAAATTAACAGTAATATACTGTTAGCAATGGGGATGGTAATCATCATTACCTTCGTTACTAACAATCCTAATACCCATATAGCAAAGTAACTCGAATTTAATATGTTTTTTTTTATGTAATTTTTTCTTATTAGTCTTTATTTTTTTTTACGCATATAATGTTCCTCTCTATTCATCTTTTATTTTTTATCCTTTTTTAATACATATTAATGTAAACCAGTATTGACACTTGCACGTATACTAATGGTAGTGGATTTAAACTTAATAATTCTAATCAACTAACAAGTAATATAAACCAGATCAAGAATGTTATAATAATAATATTTTATTAATGTTTTTATATGATTGAGTAAAAGTAAGTAAAAAAATATAAATAATATGATGGCGGATGTGAGTTTTAATATAGTAAATAATTAAATTAAAAAGAGATTGAGAAATAAATTTATCAATTCAACTCACTTGACATGGAATTTTATTAAATTTATTAAGAAAATGTAGGGGTATTAAGCATATTTGATACGAGTTTATTCCGACGATATAATAATAAACAATATTTCAAAATATATTTCGTTGTTGCTATAAGTAAAATAAAAAAAATGTTACTACTTTAGCATTAATTAATATTGTAATTTGTAAAAATATAATATGTAAATTTATTTGGATTTTGTTTTCAATTATTCTTCAACGACCGAGTGGTTTTGAATTAAATTTGCAGTTTGTCTTGAAACTTATAAAACGGCTAATTAATTCTAAACCGTAAATAAAGAATAGCACAATAGAAAAGAAGATTAGTAGATAATAATAAAATCTTCATTTAAATTATATACTATATTTAAATATTCAAAAGTTCTTTAGAATTATCAAAGTATTATAGTACCGCATTCGAGTATTCTGACACTTTCCTATGCTTCACTGGGAGTGAATGCTTTTAGCATTAAGTCTGCCATGTACACATATTTGTACTAATGAATAAATAAATAAATAAAGTTGACAATTCTATTGCTAAGGAGAACCAACAAAAAACTCGATAGTTAATCTTTACAAATATATAATGTTCTAAGAAAATTAGAAATATGTACAAAATTATTATTACAAATAAAATATATATAGCTGTATCTATGCATAGGTATGCATATAAGATTTATTATTATACAAATTACTTAAATTTTAATCTATAATCTGTTATTTATATTTTTAAAAGATGAAACAATACAAAAAATTACAGCAATCATAATGATCATAAATATATCAATTCCTACAAGTAGTATCTGCTCACGTATATGACAGATGAGCTAGCCATCTATGTATTGATATCTAAGTGTGATGTCAGCCATATATTAAGGAATCCTACATACTAACCCACCATTACACAGTAATTCATATTATATGTAACTTCAATGCTCATTGTCGGATTATATTCAAGTAACAAATTGAAGGAGAATTCACAACTCATGTAAGCTGGTGGGCTACAAATTGTTCTCCAAGATGGAGCGCAATGGATAGCAAAGAAAATCCAAAGATTTTTGCAAAGTAGGTTCAATAGGCAAAACCGTTGTCAAAAACACATTTTTATGTATACTCGTACATTGTTCTGTTGACTGTATAGAATGAGATATGGGCATATGTTACGTAAAGTCTAGCTGGGTGGTTTATTCCTAGCATAACTTGCAACGTATCATTTTTCATGTTGCTAGTAAAATTTATAGAGTCAAAATACTGCTGGTTGAAGCTAGACTCGGTTTGTTTCCAACGAGTTTGTATTGTCATGTGAAGTATGCAATTATGTTATGAATCCTTTTATGATATTCATCGTGATTGTTGGTATTTGGTGGAATTTCATTTCAATCACTGTAAAAATGTTTGTACTGTTATTGTATAATATCAATACCTGACCGGTAATTGACCGTCATAAATAATTGCATGTTATTAATGGAATAGTTCGAATGTAAGTTTTATAAATATTATAATTTCTTTGATGCAAACTGTGCAATACGACATTGTTGTATATGGCCGTGCGGTTCCAGAATGGCCCACCCCTTCTTTTCCAGTGGGTGTCTTAGGACGCGACTATAAGAGCGATATATACTATAAGAGCGAAGAGGGAGCTATAAGATTATAAAGGTATATACGCCGACCATGACACACTCCTGTGTTGAGGTGGAGGCAATGTATAAAGACATTTTAAGAGCCATACATTCCTATAATACTTAATACATAGTATTGATGGGGGATTTGAACGTTAAACTGGGCAAAAGTAAAGACGATGTGACGAGAATGGGTAAATTTGGAATCGGGCAACAAAACCCTAGGGGACAGCAATTGGATCACATAATGGAGAAGGAGGAAGTCTTTATGATGAACTCCTTCTAAAAGCTACACAGCACTCCTTCTACAGCTACAAAAAGCCTGGTACAGCTAAAAAAAATTGAAATTGACTTTATTATGATGACTAATCGCCATTTGTTCAGTGATGTTTCAGTAATCAACAGGTTAAAAACCAAAGTAACAGGCATATTAAACCTGAATATTAGGCTGGAAGCGTATTCGTCGGGGCTAGCCATATATCCAAACTGCGAATGAACGAACAAACACCGAACGGTTAACATTAGGATCTGAGCAACAATCCAATAATTTGCCTGAAGATGCTCATTTAGAAATTAATCCTCATGTGTCACAAAACGTGCGTGAACAAAAATGACTGTCGGAAATTGATGTTTAATATGGAAGATCGTGGAACTTCTAGCAGTAATAGTGGTGATCAATCTTCGAGTATTGGCAGTCATATATATATCGGTAGCAGAATTAAAATAAAAAAAAAATTAATCAAATAACCAGTGGCATGGACTTTCACAATATAACACTTAGTTTATTAAAATATTCAGAATTTATAAAATACAAAAAAAAAATTAAGACAATGCTTACCAGGGACATTAGACAGGGCTTATTATTATTATTTTTTAAATTGCTCATTTTCATAAATATAATAAATTATGAAAATGAGCAATTTAAAAAAGTCTTTTGTAAGCATACATTATATTTTAATGTAATAATTACCGGTTTAAATCACGTGTAATTTGTTGTTATACGTACACGTGAGTTATACCCGTAGTTATTACGTTAAAATATTATAAAATGGATTCCGATTAATACAAGTATACACATTAAAGGATTAGACCTATAGGTATACTACAAAATGAAAGGAAATTTTATATTTCGTGCGGGAATTGAAACAACGTGTTTTCCGCGAATAATGTCGTTAGAAACAACTGCTTTGAAAACAAAATTGGAATCAGATTTTAATTGATCTCTTAGAATTTTCGTGGAATTATTCAGTGTTCAAAACTAAAACAACCAAACAATAATAAACCTAATTATAACCCAAGTTCAAATTAGGATTAGTATAAATATTAATTGTATTAGTGTGTTTTGCATAAATTAAGTTCCGGGTTCGATTCTCGATCGGACCAATTTAGGAAACAAACTTTCCTAATTGGCTCAAGTCTGAATCTACTGAGCTGTGTTCCCAAATGTTTGTTGCCCTAGTTGAACATAACACAGGATATCCTAACACGAGGATCAGGCGATTAGAATGACTGTGTGGCACTTATCGTCTATACTAACATTAAAAAGAGGAAATATTTTATTGTTTATTTGCAATGGATACACTCAAAAACTACTCGAATGATTTTAAAAATGCTTTCATCTATAGAAATCTACATTATTAGTAAGTAACATAGGCTATATATTATTTTAGAATATTCTATCTACTAATATAAAGTCGGACCGAATAATATTAGTATAGTATTATTAGAAGTGAATAAGCATATATCCAAGCTTACCTATACATTTATGCACGTCACCTTTCATTTATTTTGACCAAACTAACATATAGTTTGTTTAAAATAAATAAATAA